CCTAAACAAGGGGCTCCCTGATGGCACAGGGTTTAAAGTCTCAGTGCTACCAAGCTATCACCAGCCACTGCAGCATGAGTTAGACCCCTGGCAGGTGAGGAAGCTACCCACATGGGGCAGCAGACCTCTCCTTTCTCTCCCACTGTCCCCTCAGCAGTGTATTTCAGTCAGTCTGCCTGTTTTGTTCCCCACTTTATCTGTGGTGAATCCTTTCACCCCCACTCCCTGCACCTCTGGCCTGTACCCCAGTTCTTTTATGCATAAATAAGTAAATCTTTAAAAAGAAAATAAACCATAAACAATGTTGAACTTCAATGATATGCACCCTGAAATTATTTAGGAATGATGTATACTGACAGCCCCAGTAGCTTCTTAGTCCTTTCAAAGACGTCCAGTTACTCCAATAAAAACTTACAAATACGCTTGGAAGAAAACTTGTGTCAAATATTTCACAAGTGTTTCATGCAATACCTGGCTTCTGCTGATTCTCCAAACTCCCTAGTTGGAGTTCAGGGATACCCTGTACACAGGGCATCCTTCATTTCTATCTTCAGCCATAGACCTCCTGGGTCTCAGGGCTTTGGTACTGATTGTTTCTTTGACCTGGATTTCCATTTGTGATCCTCATTTACTTAATTTATACAGAACTTTCAAATCTGAAAGGGCAGGGAAACTCCCTGTCCTCCCAGCCTGTGTCAGGATATGCTCCTGCTCCTTTTCATTGCTGCTTTAAAGTATATTTTCTTGGGGCCTCCCTGGTAGCAAGGGGTTATTAAGACACAGCACTGTGAAGCTGTCCACAGCTACTGCAGCACGAGTTCAATCCCTGGCCAGGGAGCTACCCACATGGCAGAGCAGACCTCTCCTGTCTTGCTGGCTACTCCCCTCAGCAGTATATTTCAGTACATCTGCCTGTTCTGCTCCCCACTCTGTCTCTAGAGGATCCTTTCACTCCCGCATCTCTGGCCTGCACCCCAGCTCTTGTATGCATAAATAAATAAAAAAGTATATTTTCTTCACTGTTATCACAATTCATAGTCACACATTCATCAAGCAATCACACAAATGTATATGCTCCTCATAAGGTCCTTTTTGGGACCAGGGTTGGACAGGGCTGCTTTGCTCACAATGTATTCCCTGTACCCGGCTTAGTGCCCAACATGAAGAGTTAGGAGGTCAGGAAGCTTGTTGGATAAATGACTGAAAAGGCAAATTAGAATAAGATTCCACATTTCACAATCCTGTAAAGCTGAAGACAGGCAGCTTTAAAGGATTGCTAATGTGCAGTATTGGGTAAAGTTGTGGAAAAGCCGGCACTTGCACTCATTGTTGGTGGAAGTACAAATTCATATGGCTTGAAGTACTTATCAAAATAGTCAGTGTTGGGGCCTCCCTGGTGGTGCAAGGGGTTAAGCACCACACTGTGAAGCAATCTGCGGCCTCTGCACCACAAGTTCGATCCCCAGCCAGCCAGGGAGCAACGCACATGGTGCAACAGACCTCTTCCGGTCTCGCCCGCTGCTCCCCTCAGGAGTGTATTTCAGTCAGTCTGCCTGTTCTGTTCCCCATTCTGTCTCTGGTGAATCCTCTCACCCCCGGAATCTCTGGCCTGCTCTTATATGCATAAAAATAAATAAATCTTTAAAAAAAAATAGTGCGGATTCCTGTGGATCCAGTAATTTCACACCTTGGCATTTATTCTACAGGAACAATAGTGTCCGTATACCAATGTGTCCTGTAGTTGTTTGAAGTTTGAAAACTGGCAACAACTTAAATGTTTTTCATTTTTAAGATTTATTTATTTATGCATACAAGAGCTGGGGTCATGCCAGAGGTGTGGGGGATAAGAGGATTCACCAGAGACTGAGTGGGGAACAGAATAGGCAGATCAGCTAAAATACACTGAGGGGAGCAGAGGAAGATTCAGGAGAGGTCTGCTGCGCCATGTGAATAGATCCCTGGCCGGGGATCGAACTCATGTTGCACTGGCTGCGGACTGCTTCATAGGCTGTGTCTTAACCCCTTGCGCCACCAGGGAAGCCCAACTTATATGTTTTTTAAGAAGAGGCTGAAAAAGTAAAGATACAGCAATAAAATGAATTTCTGTACCATGCAGCCTTGAAAATAAGTTGTAAAAATTGCATAAAAGTGTAATCTCTCTTTTTAAAAAAAATCCTATACATATAAACACAATTAAAAAATACATTTTTGGCACAGCAGACCTCTCCTGCCTTGCTGGCTGCTTCCCTCTGCAGTGTATTTTAGTAGATCTGTCTGTTCTGCTCCCCACTCTGTCTCTGGTGAATCATCTCACTCCCCCCACCACCTCTGGCCTACACCCCAGTTCTTCTATGCATAAATAAAAATAAATCTTAAAAATATATATACATATATATATATATACATATGTATGCACACACATTTTTAAATGTGGGTAAGGAATTAGCCAAATTGTTCATCGATATCACCTCTGGAGAGCAGAGACAGGAGCAGGAGTGGCAGGAACTTCCACTTTTACTTTGTCAAATTTTCTAAGTTATTTAAACAGGCAAGCTTATAACTAAAATAGATTTTTAAATGTTTTAAACTCTAGATTCCTTGTAGAACAAGGCTTAAAGAAGGCTCATGCTGCTTCTGCTAAAATAAAGCTACAATCAGGGAGTGCCTGTACTTAAGAAAAGGGCCTCCTTGGGGCCTCCCCGGTGGCGCAGCGGTTGAGCGCTGGGTTGCGAAGCTGCCCGCAGCCTCTGCAGCGTCAGTTCGATCCCCGGCTGCTCCCCGGCCACCAGAGGAGGGTCCCACATGGTGCGCAGACCTCTCCTGCCACCCGCTGCTCCCCTCAGCAGTGTACTTCGGTCCTTCTGCCTGCTCTGCTCCCCGCTCTGGCTCTGGTGAATTCTCTCACCCTCCCGCGATTCTGACTGTACCCAGTGCATGTATAAACGAAACAAACGAATAAATAAATAAATAAATAAATAAATAAATAAATAAATAAATAAAGGGCCTCCTAAGGAGCTGACATCCACGGATTACACGAGTGTCGGTTAAATCTTCCCAGAGAGGCCCAGGAGTAAGAGTCCACGGCTGTGGGTCGCAGGAGTCTTGGGGCGCGCATGCCTTCGGAAGGAATACGCCAGCAGAACTCAACTCTGCTTTCCCAAGTGCACGATCCTTCCCATAGGTGTGAGTCCTCGGGACAAGATTCGACTCGCATCCTTCCTTCATGGCTTCAACTTACTAGCTAAGATCTGAAGTACAGATGTAGAGGTAGCCAGAGCAAGGAGAGAAGAAAACTCGAGCCTGTTTGTCACCCCATCAGGGTTAAGTACAGGACGCACCCCCTCTCATCGCGGATCCTAGTTGCGCCTGGGGAACCCAAGTGAACGTGGGCAACGCGGGCTGCACAAACCGCTCCCAGAGCCGGCTGGTCCCGCACGTGGGCGCCACGGAGGGCGCGGCGGGCGGCGGGGCGGGCCCCGCCAGCGCCCTCCAAGGCCGCGGAGTCCCGCACTGCCCCGCCCGCAGCGAGGGCTGCAAGTTCGCGCCCCGCGGCCGGAGGGGGCCCGCCCGCCGCAGCTATTCCCGCAGGTCGCGGCGCTCACGGAGAAAGCCACGCTCAGCCCCGAGCCTCCCTCCTCCACCAGCTTTAGGGCCCGGGAGGCGTTTCCTAGTGGAACGATCGCTTCTCTCCCTCCACGGTTAGTAACCGAGGCCGAGGCCACCCCGCGGAGGGCTTACGCCGCTGTCTTCAGTCTCCACGGCGGCGCGGACAGGCAGGTAGTTCGCCCCATTTTGCGGAGAAGAAACCTAGGCCAGAGTGGCGAAGAACCCGACCAAGGTCACCAGGCTTTGCTGGTGTTTCCCCCACCCTCGAAGCTTGCAAGTGTGAATGTGAATGGACCCTAAGTACTCCTTTCTTTCCCTCAATGGCCGGCGAGGAGAATAAAAATGCGGCCTTTGAACTCTCGGTGAGGGTCTGGACCTCGCTTTTCAGCCTCGCCCGGCCGAGGTCACGAGGCTTCCCCGGGGAAGGAAAAGCCTTGGTGGCACAGGGGTGGGGGGCCCTCGAACTTTGATGTGAAATTCGGAGCCTTAAGACGTGAAATTCGGGGCCTTCCTGGTGGCACCAGGAGTTAAGCACCGCACTATGAAGCTATCTACAGCCTCTGCAGCACGAGTTCGATCCCCAGCTGGCCAGGGAGCTACCCACATGGCACAGCAGACCTCTCCTGTCTCGCCCACTGCTCCCCTCAGCAGTGTGTTTCAGTTGGTCTGCCTGTTCTGTTCCCCACTCTGTCTCTGGTGGATCCTCTCATCTCCACCCCAAAACCCCAGCTTTTATATGCATATATAAATAAATCTTGGGAAAAAAAAAAAAGCAGTGAAGTTCCCCGATGGCTAAACCGCCGCCACCCGAAGTCTCCGCAGCGCGCGGGGAGCAGAACCCGGGGCGTCAAGGTGCCGGCACCCGCGCCGCTTCCCAGCCCTCGGGCAGTGCCTGGTCCCCACGAGGTATCCGGGTCAAACGTCCACTCGGTCCTTGGGGTTGACGCCTCCTTCGGGCTCCGCTCTTGGGAACTCGAAGCCGAGCGGCTTTGGGGGCGCGGAGTCGGTCAGTGTGCGCGCAGGTGGGCTCCGGCGGAGACCCCGGGAGACATTCGCTTGGGCTTCTGCCCCTCCAACCCGCAAGTCATGGGCAGCCGAGTGCCCGCCACAGAAAGCGGCGGGCCAGCGCTCTAGCCCGGGTCCGGGAGAGGCCTGGAAAGCCGAGTTGAGTGTGCGACCCCCTGGGGACTGGAGGCGCTTCGAACTCCGGCCATTGGCTGCGGTGGGAGGAGACTGGCCGGGGACCTCCTCGGGCCGCGTCCCTTCCCCACCCTCGCCCTCTCTAAACCCCACAGCCCCGCCCCCGCCGCCCTCTTAAACCCGTCTCGGCCCTCCGGGCTCGCCCGTAGCCTACCGGTTGGAGGCCGTGTAGCCCCTCAGGGTCCTGGGGCTCCTGTTCGGCGGCCGCGCTCTGGAAGGTGGGTGCCGGGCCGGGTGCCCCGGGGCCGTCGTGTGCCCCGGCGGTTGGGGAGCGCCCGCAGCAGCCGCAGTTGGTTTGGGTTAGTCATTTTGCCCTCTTGGGGCTTTTATTCCTTAAGTGACTTCCAAGCCCAAGTTGCAGATTCCTGGGGTGTGGAAAGGGCAGGAGCAGAGCGCGTCTTGCCAGCTCGGGAGAATGGCAGATGCCTTCGTAGTGGCTGACCTCGTCTTCTGACCCCTTGTTCTTTAATTTCTGAGTCACGACCCTGCTTAGTTTCCCTATTGGGCTCATTGATCTTGCCCTCAAGACCCTCCGGCCCTGAAAAGGCTTCATCGCTCAGCCCTGGTGAACTTGTGTCCATTAAAACGCCGTCCTTTGGGGCAGGGGCGACAGCAGCGGGGCGGCGGCGCAGAGGTAAGGGAAGCGGGGGGCGGCCGGGTTGACTCTGGTCCTTGTCGGCTCCTGAGAGGCGGCCCCAGGCCCCTAACTCCCAGGTGAGGTGACTGGAATTTCCAGAGGGCACTTGGGGATGTCGCGGGCGAGGCCTGCGCGGGACAACCGATCGCTGACTGCGGTGCTTCGAGGGAGACTAAGGTGGTGCCCCTCGCCCCTGCCCTGCCCCAGCCCCCGGCGGCCCGGACTGCCTGGGTCGCAGCCGCGTGGCCTCCCTACACCTGTTCCAGGCTGGGGGACTGCGTCTCCTGCTCGCAGACCAGCGTCCCTCCCTCGCGCTTGGGGCCCTAGGAGCGCCTGGAGCTGCCGCCTCCCGCAAAGCTCAGTGCGGCGGGTCTTGCGCTCGGCTTTCGGCCCCAGGTTGGGGAAAGGGAGGACCCAGCAGCCCGGATCCACCCTGCGAGAGTTTTGTTGGACGGAAAAGAGGGCGGGAGACGGAGCTTGAAATAGATTTTGCAGGAGCAGGTTTGGGGCTGGATGTGGAGCGGGTGTTGTAAACCCGCTGCGCTTAGCCCAGGTGTGTTTGGAGAGGGTAGGCGCAGCCGACCTTACCGGGAATTTGGAGTCGGGCGGGATTGCAGCAGATTTTCGTTGGGGGAGGGGGGTTGTGTTTGTTTTTATTGTTGTTTTGTTTGTGGGATAGAGTTCGAGGAATCGAATTGGAAAGTTTACTCCATTTCCTTCGACCTAAAGCTGGCTCGGAAGGGGCAGGTTAGGCAGGGAGGCGTGGGGCCCCGCGGCAGGCGGCGCGTCCCTCTCCAGCGCTCAGTGTCTCTTGCTTTAATGCAGATCCCACGCGCTCAGCAGCCCAGGATGGCCCTGCGGCCGCTAGTTGAGACCGGCCCCCAAGACAAGGTGTACTACCCGCCGGAGAGCTTCCAAAGCAGCCCTCACCACTTCGCAGCTTATTACACGCCTTTCCAGCCCTACGGCCACTACGCGAACGCCCTTATCTCTAACGAGGAGGATTTCCAACCTTTCCGGCAGCTGGAGGCCGCAGTGTCGGCGTCCCAGACTCTACCCCCCTTTGCCTTCCGGACCGCGCCTCCCAACCAGGCCCTACAGAGGGAGCCGCTCTACGATCTATCCTGGTACAGTAAGCTGCCAACGTGGTACCCAATTCCTCACCTCCCGAGAGAGGTGTCACACTTACTCAACAACAGCCGCGAGTATCCAGGCGCCGGCAATGAAGACTTGGGCCACGTTGGTGGCCGCAGCGACAGTGGCCAATATTGTGGACCCGAAACTTTGTTTCTGCCGCCTCCTGTGAATGCGTCTTTATTATCTGAAGGGCTGAAGTTCTCCCAGTTATTTTCTTGCTCCCCCAGCAGTCTGTCTGAAGAGGCCCCCAAACTTCTGAACCAAGAGGGGAAGCCGTCTCGTCGTTACCACTTCACCCAGGAAGACCTGCAATTAGTCTTGTATGGGGTCATTCCCAGCCTGGAGCACTCAACTCGTCTGCACCATGCGATTTCCGGGCTCTCTGTCCCTGCAGACAGCTCTGGTAAAGGCAGTCTACATACATCACCTAGAGGATGGGTTGCTGGAGTAGACTGGGGAAGGGGCCCTTGTAGGTGGAGTTAAGACTAACAAGTCTGGGAGAGTGAGAGTGAATGTACATTCCATTAGAGAAAGGGGCCTGGGGAGGCTTTAATTACTTAACTTGCAGACTCCTATGGTTTGTTTTAGCCAGAGCTGAGGATCTGGAGAGAAATGCTGCCTGCAATGGGTATGTCAGCTGGTTTCAGATTCTAGCAGGATGTGCATGGATCTGATTCAGTTCATATTTGGTATCTCAGCTCAGTCTTCTACCTTGACTTTACTCAGTCATTATTACCTGACTCTTAAGTTCCTTAAATTTGCGAAATGGGGTTGATTACATAACCTGGCAAGAGTTGTTCCAAGTTCCAAATGAGAAATTGTATATGAAGGAAAAATATAAAGGAAAGTAGGAAAAATTATAAAGAATTAATCAAATTTGGGATAATCATTATCCCATTTGGGATAATGATTACCTCTAGGAAGTACAGAGGAAAATAATTCATGAAAACATTTCATCATTCTTGTTAATGACAAATAAAATGTTAGCCCTGTCTTTTTCTAGGATCTGATTCTCTTCCCCAAACTCTGGATAAAGACTCTGTTCAACTACCAGAAGGTAGGCTGGCCTCCTTGCTTGTATTTCTTTCCTCAAAAACTGTTTCAGTCAGCGTTTTATGGCTTTCTTGCCTTGGGTTTCCCCTAGGTCTCTGCCTCAGGCAGACGAAGTTTGGTGCAGCCCCACATTTTGGTGTGTTCTGCAGCAGTCTCATTGCCAAAGGAATCCGGTTTGGGCCCTTTCAGGGTAAAGTGGTCAACGCCAGTGAAGTCAAAACCTATGGAGACAATTCTCTGATGTGGGAGGTAAGTGTGTTTCTGCTGGTCTGAATGTGGGGAGAGAGCAGGGTAGGGGGAAATCTTGGCTTCTACCTCCCTGGGAGAGGCTTGGCCTGGGAGAAGAGGACAGTTCAGTAATCTGCTATCTTGTGCTGTTTTGCAATATAAAGGAAAGGAAAAGCAGGTGTTCATGCCATGAAATAGCACCTCTGCATGAGTTCCAGGGACCTTAAGTCATTTTAGTCTGAAGATTAGTCATGGAATATACATTTGAGGAATTCATGCATTGTGTTATATTTATAGACAAAACTAAATTTTTAAATATAGTGATGCTGAAAATATATCCAAGGAAATAAAAACATTTAAAAATATTATCATTTGCTAATGAAATTAGCCAACAATTTTTAAAGTCTGATACTCTTGACTATATGTAAGGAACATGCTGGCAGGACTGCATTGACCCTGAATTTCTACTTCTAGGATTATAGTTTAGTAAAGTAACCTGAAAATCAGACTGTGGAAGATGTTAATCACAGGGTTGTTTATAATAACAAAACATTGAAGACAATTGCCAACAACAGAGAAAGCATTGATAATGGCTCTGTTAATATGCATGATAACTAGGTTGCACCCATGATAACTGGGTGTCTTTATTTGGTGGAATTAACCTCCTTTCTTTTATACTCTGCTTATGAAATCACTGTATGCTTGCTATAGAAATTTGGAAATTAAGAAAGTGATAAAAGGAACATCTATCAAAATATCATCACCTGATATCTTTAAGCTAATCTATTTAGGCGTAATGTTAATAATAACAATATTATATTCAGTAGACTCAAGTATGAAATTTGGATCATACATTTTTAATAGTAAATTTATAGGAGAGGCCAAAAAATATACATCCCAAACTTAATGTCTTATTTCATTTAGATCTTTGAAGATGGTCATCTGAGCCACTTTATAGATGGAAAAGGAAGTTCTGGGAACTGGATGTCCTATGTCAATTGTGCCCGTTTTCCTAAGGAACAGAACTTAGTGGCGGTGCAATGTCAAGGGCAGATATTTTATGAGAGCTGCAAGGAGATCTACCAGAACCAAGAACTCCTTGTGTGGTATGGAGACTGCTATGAGAAGTTTTTGGATATTCCTGTGAGCCTTCACCTCTCAGAGCTGGGAAAACAGGTGCCTGGGCTATCTGAAGGTGAGTGCACACCTTTGCCTCACTTGGTGAGAACTTCCTAATGGAAGGACTGGGCTTTTCCCCCAAACCAACAGCCTCCTACAGGTTTTCCTGCAGCTTCTCTGCTTACTTGAGGGACTTCTCTCTCCGGAGGACTAATGCAGGATACTAAACAAAGGGTGTCTCTATCTGGGGGGGCATTGCCCAGCTGGAGGAAAACAGCCTCATTTAAAACTGCGGAACCTTCTTTTATTCAAAAGGGTATTTTTCTTTTGTTCTTGCCCTGCCAACCTCTCCCTTCCCTCCCCATACCAAGAATAAATAAAAGAGAAATAAATGGATGCAACCTATGCCTTAGGTGAGCCAGTTTCTAACTCATCTGTGCTCAGGCTTACACACTTGATGAAGTCAAAACTGGAGATCATTGTTTTCCAAATGATGGTTTGCAGTATCTTAATGGGGTCGGAAATCAATTCAGTGGTCAAAACCAGCATTAAAAGAAAAAACAGACTGTAAGAATAAAATAAAATAGAAAATATTGAGTGAATCTCACTTAAGTAAGAGGAAGCATTATTTGAAATTTTTGTTTCAAATGGGTATGTGTCTGTATGCTGGCTCTCAAATATAAGATGTTTTTCTTAATATGGGCCTCAGTTGTGTTTAAGAAGCATCACGTCACATTCTGGTTCTCAAATTTTAATGTGGGTGTGAATATCTGGGGTTTGGGGAAGATGCAGTTTCTCATTCAGAGTTGAGACCCAAGATTGTGCATTTCTATGAAGCTTCCAGGGGGTGGTGATACTACTGGACTCTGGGCCCCAATTAATGACTAAAGAATTAAAGGACCATCATCCCACTCTCTAGGGGTGAACTTCTGGAATTTGCTTTTTTTTTAAAGATTTATTTATTTATGCATACAAAAGCTGGGGTGCAGGCCAGAGATACGGGGGTTGGGGGGGGTGAGAGGATCCACCAGAGACAGAGGGGGGAGCAGAACAGGCAGACTGGCTGAAACACACTGCTGAGGGGAGCAGCAGGCGAGACAGGAGAGGTGTGCTGCGCCATGTGGCTGGAGATCAAACTCATGCTGCAGAGGCTGCAGACAGCTTCATAGTTCTGTCCTTAACCCCTTGAGCTACCAGGGAGGCCCTGGAATTTGCTTTTTAAGTAAGCTCTATAAGAGGTTTTTGTAAACGGAAGAGCTTGGGAACTACTAGATGGGAGAAGATGTTCTAATATGTGAAATCACATAGAAGGACCACATTATTGTGTTATAAGTGTAATAAGTAACAGGTAAAAGAAAATGTGAATTGCATTCTCCACACACAATAGTGATTGCCTTGCAAGCATGTCTCCATGCTAGAACTGAGACCCTTCAAGTGCAGGAAATAACCCTAACCACTATAATATCCCCGGCTTCTGGATTGTGTTTAATGAAGGAGGAAGACATTATGACTGAACTAGGGAAAAGTTGCTTTAAGGTTAAAATGAAATAAAGGATGTGTTAAGCAGGGGAAGGAAAGCTTTGGAGATAGTGAAGTGAAAGGCAAATACTAGTTCACCAAGGGTTAGGTGGTGTGGTCTGAACTCTGGGTGGTGAGCTGTTTTCCTTCTACCCTAATGTGCATGGTGTGGGGATGGGGCTCATGTTAGGTGTGTGTGTGGGGAGGGGGGTGATATGGGGAAACTCTCTACAGAGTCTGTAGACCTAACTGTTATCTAATACTTAGCACCAAGTCAAATAAGTCTTTTTGGTCACTTTGAAAATATATACCAATCATTGTTAAGAAATGAAAAAGGATTTGAGAAAAATAAATACTTGATAACATAAAATATAATCAGTTACACTTTTGAAAAATTATTTAATGTTATGTATCAAATTATTAAAATGTTCATAACCTTTGATATCTCAGCAAGACTCTTCTGGAAAATTATCTTTGGGAAATTGTCCAAGGGGAAAAACTTTGTGTGCAAGGATTTTTACTATAGCACCATCCATATTTGTGAAAAATCAAACAACTTATATCCCAACAAACTAAATATCCCAACTTATTCAGTAAAACAAATACAAACAAGTAAATGATGATGAGTAACATGAATTAACATGCAGGCATCAGAGATCGCAATTGTATAACAAGCAACAAAGATGCAAACTTATGAATTTCCTGTGCTCCTATCCTGAACCAAATTACATAGGATGCACAGGATGCTGTTAAGATGATCTAACTTTTTGACTATGTATGGAAAGAAACTTATGAACAATTTACTTTGTTGGGCAGAATTGTGGATGAATTCATTTGTTTTCTGTTAACAGGAATGTTTTGGATAGGATTAAAAAAAGAAAGAAAAAAATCAAAATTCCTCTGTTCTCTCAAAAGAATTGCTCTTTGCAGACTTTTTTCCAGGGCTGGTGGGTTCTTCCCCTTTAAGGTCTTGAATGGGAGGGAAGGGTCTGGGCCCTATGTGGGCGGGTTATTTGAGTATGCAAGGCTGCGGAGTGTGTGTTTTGGGGGTTGGAGGTGTGGAATGTGACGACAACTCTAAATCATTTGCAAATTCTGTCTGAACTGTGTGGTGAGGCAGAAAGCATCCTGATATTGGGAAACCCCTTGGATAAAGAGTATTTGATGAAGGGGACTGGGAGGGGGGGGTATGTTGGCGCTGGGAGGAAGAAGGAGAGGGGACAGGATAAAATTAGTTAAGATAAATATCCAAGCACCTGTAGGCAGCTGAGGAAGCTGAAACCTGATTAGTAAAGGCGGTATGCCACTCGTAAGTGGTTGTTAGACAAACTATTGAAACTTATTCTTAATTCTGGTTTGCTATAGTGCTTTCAATTGTAAAGATCTTGGACCCTGTCTTGTAGACTCTTCCCCACCGCGGGAAGCAGGAAGGTTAGGTATGTCTGACCAATGAAAATTCTAGCTCTGAGTAAAAACCATCCCAGCGGGAGTATTCTGAGAGTATTAGCACCTCAATGAAAGTGATAGACTTTGCTGGGCAATGGATAATCCTGGGGTTGGTGGTTACCTTCCTGGTTATTTACTTAATGAATGGTTTATTTCCTTAGTCACCTGTTAAACGTGCCTTGTCTTAGTTGTTAACTAACAAAATTCCTGATGCTTAGCCTCCCTGCTGTCCTGATGCAGAAAAGATTTCCATCTACAGACTTTCAGATATTCGCCTTGGCTTTTCTCTCCCTCCCTGGGGCAGACAATGATTCTCAGTGATGCATTCACAGTCAAAGCCACTTTATCCGCAGGAATCCAGAGTGTCCACAGCAGGGATGCTTTTGTAGGTGGCCCATCTTCTCCCCTGCCCCCAACACATAGACACCCCTGAATTTGAGACCTTCTTTGCTAGATCGGTAGCACCCTCTCTAACCTCAGTTCTTCCCCTCCCACTTCCATTGATTAAAAGTAGGTTTACCTTTCTCACTCATGTTGGTAAGACCTCAGTAAGTGTTGGAATTAAATTGTGAAAACACTATATATTAAAGAAGGCAAAAAATTGTCATTCATATTCTATCCATGAAAATTCTACCTCTGGAATTGTCCCCAAAACTTCAGAGATGTGGGATCTAAGCTGAAAGAGTGCGTAAGACCTCATAGGTCTTAGGGGTCAAACAGAACCACACTTGTGAGGCCTGAGAAGGAAGTTGTGGGTGTCCCTCATTGTCCTGGGGAACTGCTTGAACTTGTAGCTCAAACTAATCAGAAAGGGACAAAGAGATGCATTTGTATAATAACCTTGTTAATAAGTACCATTCTGGGGTGTATTCAAGAACTATAGGATTAAACTGTTTTTTAGTTATTTTTTTAAGATTTATTTATTTATACATACAAGAGCTGAGGTACAGTCCAGAGATGCAGGGGGTGAGAGGATTCACAGAGACAGACTGGGGAACAGAAAAGGCAGACCAACTGAAATACACAGCTGAGGGGAGCAGTGGGCGAGACAGGAGAGTTCTGCTGTGCCATGTGGGTTGTTCCCTGGCTGGCTGGGGATCGAACTCGTGCTGCAGGGGCTGCGGATTGCCTCACAGTGCAGTACTCAACCCCTTGCACTACTAGGGAGGTCCTAAACTGTTTTATAAGATTTCTTTATGCATACAAGAACTGGGGTATAGGCCAGAGGTGTGGGGGTTGAGAGGATTCACCAGAGACAGAGTGGGGAGCAGAACAGGTGGATGTACTGAGAAACATTGCTGAGAAGAACAGAGGGTGAGAGAGGACAGGTCTGTTGTCCCATGTGGGTTAGCTACCTGGCCTGCTGGGGATCTAACTCATGCCGAATTTAGCACTGACTTTAACCCCTGTGCCACCAGGGAGGCCTGAATTAAGATGCTCATAAATTAGGTTTTCTTCGGGAGGTGAAGAAAACCTGTACATTAAGATGTTGAAGGGACATAGGAATATGTAGATTTTGAATCCTAAATTGAACTAAAATAATTCAGTGCATATTATGTGTATATATGTACATGTACTTTGCATTTTTATCAAGGAGTGAGGTGATGGTTTAGCTATGAATGGCAGTATGGTTAAACTTAAGTCAGTATCTTTTTTTTTTTTTTAAGATTTATTTATTTATGCATACAAGAGCTGGGGTATAGGCCAGAGGTGGGAGGATTCACCAGAGACAGTGGGGAACAGAACAGGTAGATTGACGGAAGTACACTGCTGAGGGGAGCAGCGGGCGAGACAGGAGAGGTCTGCTGCACCATGTGGGTAGCTCTCTGGCGGGCCAGGGGATTCAGCTCGTGCTGCAGAGGCTGCGGACATTTTCATAGGTTGTGTCTTAACCCCTTGCGCCACCAGGGAGGCCCAAGTCAGTATCTTTTAATGATTATGGATTGAGGTGTTTATAAACCAAATGATAAATTAGTATTGAAATCTATTATAGAGGGAAATGATAGAAATAAAAACAATTGGCTACAACTTGGTCTCTGTCAAAGGTTGGTGTTGGGCACATGCACATGAAGGTTTTTTTCTATTTTGACTTTGATATGTTTAAGTTTTCTATAATAAGGAGTTTTTGTTTGTTTAAATCTTGTTGGAAGTAAGGATGAGAGAAGGTAGCTGACCAAGTCCCTCGTGTTTTCCCTCTCTTTGGCAGAATCTGCAGAAGGTTACAGATGTGAAAGATGTGGAAAAGTATTTACCTACAAATATTACAGAGATAAGCATCTCAAGTACACCCCCTGTGTGGACATGGGTGATAGGAAATTTCCCTGCTCGCTCTGTAAACGATCATTTGAGAAGCGTGACCGGCTCAGAATCCATATTCTTCATGTACATGAGAAGCACAGGCCTCACAAGGTAAGAGCCAGGGTAGGAATGACCCCTGTCTACCCTCACACTCTGCTTTCACACTCCTTCTCCAAGCCCCTGAACATACATTGATGGCCTTTTAGGTGCTAAGTGCTGGGATCTAATGCCTGGTAAGATAGCTCTAAAGGAGGTGGCAGTGCTGTGGAAGGGCAGGCGTGAACTAAAACAGCACCAGTGCTGAGTGTAAGGTGGCTGTGCAGAATAGAGACAAACATGGAGAATGAGAGTCCCCTTCTCTCTGGACACTTCGATAATGAAAGGCCTCATAGAAGAGGTGACCTTGAGCCAAATCTAGGAGGACAATGGGGTATCTGATTTATTATATCAGCAGGATGATTGAGGAGTCAAGGGAGAGTGTTGAGATATTCCCCGCAGGAAAGAGGTTGGCGTTTGGTTTTAGGTAACTGCATCTTGTCCATAACCTGTGCAGGCTTATTGATAGTTATGACCATGATCCAAAGAATGGAAGATCTCTATGGTACACTGAGGATTTGGTAAGGGAGAAAGGCAATAATGGCATGGAGGGAATATTTTTCACCATTCTGGATACCTAGTGGCTTTGCCAGACTTTGTGCAAAAAAGTACAAACTACCATTGGACTTACAGAACTTGGGTCAGACAGACATGGGTTTGCTTCCGGGCCCTGTAGGTCCAACCAATGATGCTGCAACTTTGAGCTACTCTAGCTCCAGATTTCCTCATTTGATTTTTTTTATATAAAGATTTATTTATTTATGCATACAAGAGCTGAGGTACAGGCCAGAGGAGGGTGAGCGGACCTACAAGAGACAGAGTGGGGAACAGAACAGGCAGATTGACTGAAATACACTGCTGATGGGAGCAGCGGGCGAGTCAGGAGAGGTCTGCTGTGCCATGTGGGTAGCTCCCTGGCCGGGGATCAAACTCGTGCTGCAGCAGCTGCTGATAGCTTTATAGGTTGCATCTTAACCCCTTGTGCCACCAGAGAGGTTCCTGGTTTCCTCATTTGAAAATTAAGTCATCATCAAAGAATTGCTCCTATCTCTCCTCTCCCGGTCACAGCTAAACTTCTAAAAAAGTCATATTTAGTAACGATATCATTTACTCCTGTAAACATTGAGTCTTTTTAAAAACTAGCACATTGATTTTATAATTCTAAGAACATTTAAATATTAAGACTGAAATTATTTCTTACCTCTCAGACTGGCAAAAAGTCAAAAGTTCTACTATCTAATATCCTGATAGTAGTGATTTAGAGACTGCATGTTAAATATCAATTGGTTATAAGAATTATTGAATCAGTTGTATAAATCATGGTGTATTAAGCAAATATAAGTGTCAGAATGTGTATAGCATGATGCCATTAAACTACCTTATTATACAAGCTATGTAAATGAAAGAACCATCCATAAAGAACACACTGTATTGCTAATTCTGATTCTGGGAGTGTGTGAATGAAGCCAACAGTGATTTTTACTTTTACTTGGCAAACTTTAATTTTAATTTTTTAATATAACAAAATAGAAATAATGCATACTTGGTAAGTACAATTTGGAGGAAAAAATAAAATAAAAGCTACCTGATATGCAATAACCCAAAGTTAAGACATTTTAAGTATAATTTTCTTTCTACACATGCACTTTTTTTTAAAGATTTTTTATTTATTTATACAAGAACTGGGGTACAGCCAGATGCGCGGGAGGGCAAGAGGATTCACCAGAAACAGAGCTGGAACAGAACAGGCAGACTGACTGAAATACACTGCTGAGAGGAACAGCAGGCGAGACAGAAGAGGTCTGCTGCGCCATGTGGGTATCTCCCCGGCTGGCTGGGATTGAACCTGTGCTGTGGAGGCTGCGGACAGCTTTACAGCACTGTGTTCAACCGCCTGTGCCACCAGGGAGGCCCCATGCAGGTGTTTTTAATATGCTTTGGGTCGTACTGAATTTTATGAGGCTACTTTTCTGACTTCACATTACACCAAGAGCTAATTTGTAAACATAAAGTGACTAATGTCAGTACTTCAGATGAATGTGCCATAATTTATTTAACCAATCCCATGTTGTGTATTTTTACAACATTTCTACAGTGAACAAAATTATGTAGAAATCATGTTATCTTTTCTAGAAGTAAAAAAGATGGGTCAAAATATGTGTACAGTTTTTAAGGTTCTCAAATTAAGGTGTCAAATGCCTTCCAGGGAAGGTGTCAGTCTTTAGTCCAACCAACTGGGCTTGGGTGAAATAAGTTGCACCAGGTCTCCCATAATAATCTTCTTTTAGACTGCCATTTTGATAAATGAGAAATTATATCCTCTTTGAATGTGCATCTATATTATTAATGAGGTTTAAATTTTAAAATATATTTTATTAATAGCTTATTTACCCCGTGGTTTGTCCTTGCAGAATATGTATATTGCTACATGCTTTTGTAATATTTTTTATCTACTCTAGGATTTGGAGATTTTTCACACTTTTATTTCTGAACTTGGAGTGTTCAACTAGCGATGACATGTCATATTTTAAATTGGTAGCATTTTTTTTTCTAGCACATAAAGTAATGGAGGATCTTACAATTGATGACATACGGCATTTAGGATTACTTGTCAAACTTTCTGGCAGAAATGACAGGGTGTTAAAAATAGATGCTTTGGGATCACTGTTTGCTTTGTTTTTGATTAAAGATGAATGTTATGTCAAGAGATTTCTACTAGCATGTTGGATCACTCATGGGCTTCAACACTGAGGACAATAGTCTTAGGTTAGGGTTTGAGGAGAGAAGCTATAGATTGGTACTATGGTCTTTGGAATTTGCACTGTGGCCCAGGAGGTCAGTAGATGACAATACCTATAAGGAAGGACTGGAAACTGATAATTGTGAAGTGATGATGGGGACCTGATTTTCTGGTAGAGTGCAGGAATAATCATTTTAAACTGGCAATAGAAAAGGATAAGTCTTGGGCCTCCCCGGTGGCGCAGCGATTGAGCGCTGGGTTGCGAAGCTGCCCGCAGCCTCTGCGGCACTGGTTCGATCCCCGGCTGCTCCCCGGCCACCGGAGGAGGGTCCCATATGGCGCGCAGAACTCTCCTGCCGCCCGCTGCTCCCCTCAGCAGTGTACTTGGGTCCTTCTGCCTGCTCTGCTCCCCGCTCTGGCTCTGGTGAATTCTCTCACCCTCCCGTGCTTCTGACTGTACCCAGTGCATGTATAAACAAAAAACAAACAAAACAAACAAATAAATAAATAACATGCCTCTATAAAAAAAAAAAAAAAAAAAAAAAAGAAAAGGATAAGTCCTGTCATACTCCAACGTTCCTCTTCAGTTATCTTGTATTTGCAAACTCTCCGGAGTGTCTCATCCTTTATTTATCATGACTATAAATACCATTTCACAATGGTTCCAAGTCTCTAGCCAAGAATTCTGTGCTGCGCTCCAGGGATGTAGGTGGTTGTTCTCTGAACATCTCACCATGAATTTCCCATGACTCGTTATCTTCATTATGTTTAGGGAATTAAGATTTTTTTTTTCTTTCCTTGTTTTTACTGCTTAACATTTGTAATTCTCATTTCATTTCTTTATATCGTATACTTTCGTTTGAATACTTTTAAGATGATAAAGTATATTTAATTTCTGTATAAGTCTAAAAGAAAACAGTTCACTCAACAGAAGAAAAGGAACTAATGTGAGGGCCTTCCCTGGTGGTGCAAGGATTGTCTCAGTGCTATCAAGCTATCACCAGCCACTGCGGCATGAGTTTGATACTGTCCAGGGAGCTAACCCACATGGTGCAGCAGACCTCTCCTGTCTTGCCCGCTACTCCCCTCAGCAGTGTATTTCATTAGATTCGCCTGTTATGCTCCCCACTCTGTCTCTGGGGAATCCTCTCACCTCCCCACACCTCTGGCCTACACCTCAGTTCTTCTATGCATAAATAAATAAAAAAAAATTTTTTTTTAAAAAGAAAAGAAACTCAAGTGAAACAAACATGCAGAACTTCAGAACAATTACTTTTAGAAAGAATAATCTATCATCTATTGAAAGAGAAAAAATGTTACTGATTTACAGAAATGTCATTAGATGCTGGGTATACAACAAACAATGGAAAAAACCCTGTATCACTTATCACTACCCTCCAAAAGCATTTAAAACCTAAATACTTTTCTTTTTAAATTTTTGCATAAAAGAACTGGGGTTTAGGAGGTGGTGGTGTGAGAGGATTCATCAGAGACAGAGTGGGGAGCAGAACAGGCAGATTCACTGAAATACACTGTGAAAAGGGCAGCAGTTGAGACAAGAGTTCTGCTGCACCATATGTGTGTTAGTTCCCTGTCTGGGGGTCGAACTCAGGCCTTCAAGGTGATATTGCTGAGACTTAGCCCCTAGGTCAGCAGGGAAGCCCTTTTTTTAACACAAAATAAAAGTGTTAGAAGAAATCCCCATGATTCATAACAATGAGTAATAAGAATAGTTCATAAATGGGTTCAGAATGTCAGTCCTCCCCAACATTCTGGAATACCTGACCAATGGAGACAGCTATTTTTCATAAAGAATTGTCTCTTAAGCACCATCAATTAATCAACTTTATGGAAGACTTTTTTCTCATAAGTTTTGTTTTTCTAGGATTTTTAATTGTGAGAGATAAATGTTTTTTTCTTAATTCTCCAACTTGTATAATGCATTTACGTTCTTTGGAAACATTCTTGGAATTTATTCTGAACAGGCGGGTTGTTTTCTGGGCCTATGACCTGTCATGTTTGGATCATTTTCCTTGCTTTTCTGAATTAGTTCCACTGATTCTTCCATCCCACACTTTCTCTTTCATGATTTCTTTTTGTTATTAGTTTGTCATATCTTCAGGTAATCATTTTTAAGCATCCATAGTGAAAATTTTTCTAAGTCCTTCTTGGAGAATATTTTCACTTTGAAAATATTTCACTTTGATAGTTCGGCTGGATACAGAATTTTAGAAATATTTTTCCTCAGAAATTTCAAGGCATCTCTCAGTTTTCTTCTATCATTTGTTGTCAGTCTGACTCAGCTCTTTGTAAATAGCCAGTTTTTTTTGTGGAAATAGTTTATCTTTGGAATTCTGAAATTATAGCAGAATGTGTTAAAATGGATGTCTTTTCCTCTTGGACTATAATCAACAGATTACAGGCAGTCTTTCCATATGAAGTTACAAGTCCTGAGCTCAAAGGTATTTTCTTGTTCTTTCTTTGGTTGTTATCTTCTAGATCTTTGTTCTTTCCTGAAACTCCTTTCAGCCAGAGATCAGGTTGGCTTTATCCTTATGTTTAACTATTATTTTTTGTTTTTTAACATGCTCAGATTGTGCCAGTTCTATTCCTCAGATCATCTATCTAGTCTTCAGCAATTCACTTATACACTCCTATTCTGTACTTTTTTGGTTCATGCTTGTTTTTAATTTCCAGAAATTTTAATTAATCTATTCTCTTTGCATATTTAGCTTAAACATCTGATTCTTTTTCATTTTTTAAAGACTTATGCATACAAGAACTGGGTTACAGGCCTGAGGTGCGGGGAATGAAAGGATCCACCAGAGACAGAGTGAGAACAGAACAGGCAGATTGACTGAAATACACTGCTGAGGGGAGCAGCAGGTAAGACAGGAGAGGTCATCTGCACCATGTGGGTTAGCTCCCTGGCCAGCCAGGAATCGAACTCGGTGCTGTGCTATAGTGCTTGCAGATAGCTTCGTAGTGCTGCAACTCAACCCCTCGCACCACCAGGGAGGCCCAAACATCTGATTATTTTTGCTTCAGTAGCAATAATACATACTTACTATTTTAAAATTTCAAACTGTACATTAAATCTAGAGAAGGGACCTCCCTGTTCGTGCAAAGGGTTAAATCTCAGAACTAAGAAGCAATGGGCAGCAACTATAGCATGAATTCAATCCCCAGCCAGGGAGCTGACCCACATGGCACAGCAGACTTCTCTTGTCTTGCCTGCTGCTCCCCTCAGCAGTGTATTTCAGTCAATCTGCCTTTTCTCCCCACTCTGTCTCTGGTGAATACTCTTACACCCACCCCCACACACAGCTCTGCCTATACCCCAGCTCTTGTATGCATAAATAAATAAATCTTTAAAAAAAATGAATCTAGAGAAGACTTAAAATCCACCCAGAATCTCACAATCTGAAAATATACTCCTCTCTGTGCATGTATACACACCGGGGGTGCCAGGGCATGGCAGCACAGTAGTTTCCTTTACCTGGCTTAGAATTCCTAAGATGATTTGACCAGAATCAAGAATCCAGAGAGATGAGATGAACAGCAAGTGGCTGTACCATGTGTTCTCACATCATTTGTCACCTGTGTCACTATTTTAGTCCATATATTCCTTACCACAGCCACTCGATTTTTTATCTGCTTATCTCTAGCAGAGTGTTGACTACATAGTAAGTACTCAGTAAATTCCTGTTGAAGTAATTATGCAATGTTTGCAATTTACTCACAACCCTGTAAGGAAGACAGATCCTGCATTTTGCTCATGAGAAGAATTTGGAAACAGATTCCAAGTTTAATTGAATTGCACTGGTCACATAGTTACTTGTTGGGATCAGGACTTATTCAGAACCCTATTAAACACCATCATCTTGTTCAATTCCTACATTTCACATGAGAAGCAACTTGATACCTAAAGATGTTGGAAAAATTACCTAACATGACAGTATTGGGCAGGCTCTGCACTAGAAGCCGTGGCTACACTGCTGGGTTCTTGAATGTTCCAGGATATCTTTCTACTTTCCCAGGTAGACCCTAAGTCTGGGTTTTTCCTACAAAAATACACAGAATAAACACAATAGTTCTCTCATCCTGGGTAAACACAATGGTGAAATAAACTTGTTAAGGGAAAATGTGATTTCAGCCATATTTTTCTTTCTCGACTTAGTGTTCGACATGTGGGAAATGTTTCTCTCAATCTTCCAGTCTAAACAAGCACATGAGAGTCCACTCTGGAGACAGACCCTACCAGTGTGTGTATTGTACAAAGGTAAATGGAGCCTTCTGCTAAAGGATCTGCCTTAATTGAGCCTTGCTTGGGTGTACATGGATAAGAATTTGAAGCATAAAATCTGGCTTATAACAAGTTCTTGGTAAATTAGTTCAGTCCCCATTTCCACCTCCAAATATCTCCAAGTTTGTTTAAGATATAACCTTCTATCAATGATATTTAAGGCATGTGTAATGAAATACACCCCCCCCCATTTATAGGAACCCCATGATTACAGGTGTAACTGTAGTATTTAATAGCATGGGCTCTTAAATGCTACAGTAAGAGGGGTCCTTAGAGTGAAATGTTCTCTATCTTATCTATTTCATAATCTTGGTTGTGATACTGTATTACAGTTTTGTAAGGTGTGTCCATTGGGGGAAACTGCGTAAAGGGGATACAGAATCTATTGCTATAACTGCATGTCAATCTACAATTATTTAAAAATTTAAATTTAGAGAAGAAGGAATCAATAAGGTGTTGTTTTATCTAATTGGCTGATAATGGCTAGTCCTTTTGTAGTTTATCTTAGAGTGTGGCCATAGGTCTGCTTACATTGGAATTGCTTGTTTAAATGAAGGTTGGTGAGTCTCATGTCAAACTTAGTGGGTATACTCATGGGGATAGGGTTGGTGGTCTGCATCTTTAACTAGACCCCCAGCTGATCTTAGCCTCTGAAGAACCACTGTTCTAATAACAAGTGCTACTCAAAACCAGCAGAGTGACAATCAATTGTGTCCTTCTACATTAAGGCTACTACTGTTGACCAAGAGCTCTAGATAGCTTTTGGTTTATCAATCAGAAAATTGAGAATCAGTGACAATAAAATTAACTCCTTTGTTTAATTTTTGTCCAACTAATGGATATTCACTCTTTCTGCTTTCCATTCTCCGCAGAAGTTTACTGCCTCCAGCATACTCCGCACACATATCAGGCAGCACTCCGGAGAGAAGCCCTTCAAATGCAAGTACTGTGGTAAATCTTTTGCATCTCACGCTGCCCATGACAGCCATGTACGACGCTCACACAAGGAGGATGAGGGCTGCTCCTGCAGCATCTGTGGAAAAACGCTCCCAGATCAAGAAGCATTCTTCTCCCACATGAAGTTTCATGAAGACTACTAACCCTCAGGAGGGAGTTCAGGGACATTGTGAAAACTAAGGACTTTATTTTTCTTGATTATGGGTGTACTGTATAAACAAATGATAATATATTGAGACAAAAAACAACCAAAACAGAAAAATAGAAGTAACCTGTTAGCTGAGTTTGTCAGATTTATTAACTGATCTGAGCAGCTTTTACAGAAACATTTTTCATAATTTTCAATAAGGATGGTACTTGGGTGAATTTAATAGAAATTGTGAAAGCTGGATATTAGTAGTACTTAGGGATATGTAAAACTTAACATAAACCCTGAGAGACACTGCATTTTATTTCAGGGGCTGGGAGTAGAGTCTCTAATTTTGCGATGAAAAGGGAGGCCTTTTCTCTACTATTTTCTTTGGGCCCCCAATTACAATATGTGGCCATCACCTATTATATTTGTTCATAGAATAAATTTTTTAAGAACTCATTCAAGTCAGAACTTCATTGGTATTATAACTAAGTATGCAGGCACAAATTAATTTCTCAGGGTTATTTGGATTCATTTCTAACCCTTAACTCCCACCTTTCCCCATCACATGATGAATGTATGTTCATAATTCGCTTAACACCAAACAGAATTGCTTAGAGGACACAGACATTACTTATCCACCCTGCCATCTGTGACCTATACCAAATGGAGGAGAAAAATTATCAAAGAATGGCTAAAAAATGATAGGCTAATTAATTAATTATATTGCTCTGCTTTTAAATCTGATTTCATTTCTGAGGAGTGAAATTTTTTCAGGTCTTTCTAATTAGCTGGTACATGCGATTTTATAGAGTAAAAGGGAAAATGTGCCATATAAGTTATCAGTGGGTTGCAAGTATGTGGGGAATTATCTTATTTAATGTGTGAGGAGACAGAGAGCAGGCGCCTCTCTTGTGGATGGTAATAGCCAACATTTATTGACCTTTAACCTTATGAGATGGTGCCAATGAGTTCACCACTTTGCAGATGAGGAAATGGAGGCTAAAAGCAAGGAAGTGGTGCAGAAAAGCCCAGTCCACCTACTTCGAAACCTAGCCTCTTAAGGACTGCTATGCTCAACTTAGGAATCCTGCCGAGGAAATAGCATTTTTCTATGAAGTAGCCCATTCTTCCCTATAATAAGGCAAGCAACAACATACTTTAAAATTATTAAATATTCACATGGAAAACTTGAGACCAGAGTAAGCAACCATGGCAACTAAGCTATGTCATATCCCTGGCCATGGTTCTATAGACTAACAGGATTTTTCCTTTCTTTAGCCATGGTTCACAGCTCTCAGAATCGAGCAATTTCAATATGGAACAGATGCCCCTTCCGGAAGGAGGCTCCCAGCTGTAGCAGAGTCCTTTGAGACAGATATGTAGTGCAGGTGGAAAAGCAGTGACAGATTTTCCTCCAGGGAATTCTTTGCTGTGTTGACTAGGCCTGAGTAATTTATCCTAATGGGAATGTGCCCTGTTGTTTTAGGCCTGTTTTAGTTCATGTTAATTAAGTCAGAACAATGGTCTTTTGAAAAGATTGGGTCTCATCCTGTAATTAGGCAGCCTTTCTTTTGACTGCTAGTTAAAGATATATTTCTTACTGTTTATGGGTTTGAACATTATTTTAAAAATAAATAGTAAAGCAAGACATCAGGAACTGGTGTGATACATTTTTTCACTAGTTGAGTAATGCAAATTAACTACTTTTTCCTTAACCAGAATAGTAGCAAAAAAAAAAAGATAATTTTTTTCTTTTGCTTTTTTTTGGTAATCACTCCAAAATGCATACATGCCAAATAATATTTAGTGGGTCATGCATGCTCACCTTAACTGGAAAATTGGGGGGGACTATTTAATTTAATCTGACCTATTTCCACAAAGACTTTGTCATAATGATCACGTTACATATTTCAATTTTTGTCTGGAAAATAGTAATTCATAACATCTTTTAGGAATTACCTTAAAGTTGATGTTTAAAATGTGTATTGCACCTATTTATAAAGATAATTTGAGTCAACATAACTAATTTAAGAAGTAGACTAAGACTGTCAAACTAGAATTAAAACCACCCATAGAAAGTAGAATGAAATTAAGATTTAGGGCCAATATAATTTCATTGGCTATATGTTGTTAGGACATACACTTGGAATATAGATTTTGAAGTTGGATGAACTTGTGTTTGCCCACCACTTTCTCATTGTGTAATATTGGGCAAGTCACTTAATTTCTGAGGATTAACATCCTCAGACATAATATAATGTGATAGTTATATTGTAGGGTATCAAATAAAATGAGATGACTTGCATTCTGGATGATACTTAATAAATCTTCATCCTTTCCCTTGTCAGTCAAAGCAAATGAAATACAATTCAGCTTCTGTTATTGATACATATGCTTTTGTTCATTGGTTCTACAAAGTGTGTCTCCTGGACCTAGTTTTACCCTAAATCTACTGCATCAAAAATTCTGGCGTAGGGTACAGCAATCAAGATTAAAGTTTTGAGAACCATTGCTTTATCTTTCAAGCCCCTGAAACATAGTGGGTACAGTTGAGTAGCTAGATAATTTGTCAAAATCAAAAGCAACAGCTTTAAGAGAAACCATTAACGTGCAAACTGCAGGCAAAATAGTACTCATCCTGGGAATAATGGATATCAATAGAACAGTTTTCTCACTTTACTGTTAGAAATAATGGAACTCTTTCTGTAGCTCTGAGCCTGATGGATGATATTTAGAGATCTCTTGTGAGGTAGTTTCTCTGATCATATTTCTTATTGTTACCTGGGTCTATATCTGATGCTAAATATCATCTGTTCACTCATTACTCTACAAAAATGTGTGTAAAAAAGGATATCTCAACTCTGGAAATTAACGGCTCAAAGTGAAGTGGCATGATGATATTGATGGAGCTCTTAATGGGTCCTTGGGGTGTCCTAGGACTCAGGGAACGAAGTTATTAGTAGACAGATGCTTGGGTCCTCTATGGGAGATGCAGTAGTGTTGTGGCCTTAAAATCAAAGCTCAGACAACGCAGAGCAGGTTGGGGTTGCAAGGAAATGTCACTCACAATTTAGTAGAGATAAAATCACTAATACAGTCCTAAACCATCTATTAATGCTGGTTCTAATTTTGATACCACAGGTTGTACAATATTTCATTTCTGCTAGTCCTAAGTACCTTTAGAATGCTTTGACTGAGCTTATCTTTATGAACCCTATCCAGAGTTCTGGAGAATGAAGTTATACGTTGAATTCTTTCAGTAGAAATACTTAATCAAAATATCACAGCACTTTTTTGTTTATTGACATAAGTCAAATGGAATAACCAAAATTATTTTGAAAGAAAAACAGTGTTAACATGAAATAGAGATAAATTTCTCCTTCATTGATAATCTTTTCATAAAATATGGAATCAGAAAATAATGGTATTCTATATTATTTTCGAAGAGTATATATCCAGGAAATACAATAAGCATGATGCTTCCATTGTTGCAGACTTCATTCCTTTGCTGTCCTACCCCAAAATGAAAAATACAAAATAAAATATAGTATTTTGAAGTGAGATATTTACCCCTAATTTCAAGTAGGGTCAAGAATGAGGGAGAAACTTGTGATTTATTTTTGCATATCATCAGGATAAAGTTGTTTGTTTTTTTTTTTTACTTTTTATCATTCTTTTTCACCTTAAATTAGCTCAGGATTCTTGTAACTTCGTATACTAACAAGTGGAAGTGCTTCCATAGTATGTTCTATTTGGCTTCAATTATTTTTAAAATGCTAATTAAAATATTAGGTATGATTTTAAGGTCAAATTATGTGATTTCCTCCCCTCCCCCACCAGCATCCTTACCCCATTTGATTTAGAAGCAGCAAGACAACTAAGGGGGAAAATAGTTCACAACTTACAACTCACATTGAGCTTGTCTTTGACAACTAGGATTTTCCTTTAGAAAAATTTTCTCTGCCTCAGCTGTAGGATTATGCGGACCTGAACCAGGGAAGGTAGGCCAAGTCTTATAGATGAATTTCCCTTCTCCTGGTTTATCAGATTTAAAGGCAACTGAACCAAATTCTATTTTAAAGCATTTTCCACTAAAAATGGGCGGGGTGTCTTCCAAGGTTGTTTCAGTTTCTCCCCTAGAGGGAGGCGGCTATCCCTCAATTGGGAAATTTTAAGTACTAAATCCCTTCAGCTACCAACGCCCCTCTGGGCAAGCCCCAGGCAGGTCTCCTCCTAGAATTGGTGGGCTTGAGATCTTAGGAGCCTAGGGCTGGGCAGTGAGCAAGTGAGTCTTAGAATTCAAGTGTTAAGCATTTGCCAAAGGGGAGGAAATGAAGGACCTGAAAAGGCAAAGGCAGAAGATGGTGTTCAAATACAAAACTCAGAGCCCCTTTGAGCTATCTACAGTTCTGGGGGTTCTGAGACTTGAACAGTCAAAAACTTCAAGGGTGTTTGGAGGGCGAAGATCCTTGAGAATAGTCAGCCAGGAATTTTGATAACTGTCAACTTTCAGATTATCAAGATTTCTCCTGGTTCACTGATTGCCTGGGTACTTAAGTTGCAATTATTTTTCTGAATAACAGGATTTGAGAAGGAGGGAAAATAAAAATGAAGAAAGAAGTGTGTTTAATCTGTATTACTAGACATCAAACACAAAATGTTGAGACACTGAAAATAAGGGATCTGTGTGTGAGTGATATTAATTACGGAAATACTTGAATGCAGAATGGGAAATTCTGTCTGAGAAACTTAAATCCCACCACCCAAATATCAGTATTCAATGGGTGTGTCAGTTTGGATTTAACTGGTTTCTGATGTAAAATGAGCAGTAGGTTTGTGGTATAACTCTACTTTCTCAGATTGCATCAGTAATTTTCTCCTTTTTAAAAGTTATTTTTTCTTATTTCTAACTTCTTCTTATAATAGATGCCATATTTCTTCAAGATTGAGAATCCATATTTGAAACACATAACCAGCATTCATTTATCAGGTTTGTGATGCTTTAACTCCCAAATAGAAGGGAGTGTGGTAGTGAAGTGGTCTCTATCAAGCTAAAACCTGAGTATCTCAAACTGGCTTAAAGATGAGAATCACCTAGAGCATCTATTAAACTGTAGGTTCCAGGACCCTTGCAAACCACCCAACCCCAGTCCCAGGTGAAGAAAGGCACTGAGAATCTGAAATTTAAATGAGCACCCAGATGATTCTTATCAGAAGTTTGGGAAATGTGAGTCATCTTTAAAAGATAGCATTTCCTACCTTTGTAGTTCATATTCTCATGGTAAATTATAAGAGGCAAGTTTGGAGAGGTCAGGAGACTTGGGGTGCTATATATGTATTGTTTTTCTAAGTAGCTCAGGAAGACTTAAAACTGCTAGCTAGGTAAGAGCACAAAATACATTTGGGGTCAAAATACCTCACAATAGCTCAAAAGAGGAAGCAACGCAAGCATCAGAAGATGAATGGATGAACAAAGGGTGGTATGTTCATACAATGGAATTTTATGAAGGGTTTTAGGTAAAATTCTTCGCCATAAGCATCTCTGTGCCATAATTAATTGACTGATTATTTGACTTAAAAGATAAATAATTTGTTGATAGTATGGTTTCAACTGATGCAGTACTCCCATTTTTACATTATGTAAATCTTAATTCTCGTAACTTATCTGTACAGTGACAATTAAGTAAACATGATGGTCTTAAAATGGTGGATGATAACAACTACTTATATCAACTTGATAGAAAATATGATGATAAAACTTACTGGGAAAATAAAATCTGCAAATACTTCAGTGAGTACAGTCATCCTGTTATAGATCTTTGGCTTTGACCTGGGGTGGGGGTGGAGTCCACAAAGCCTATATGGAATTTGCTTTGGGACATCCTTTTCCCCCTAACAATCCCTCCTACCCACCAAAACCAAAGTTTAATAAACTATGGCAAATGTAAATAACTAGACAGCTAATAATTCACAAGTCTTGGAAAGCATTAATTAGGAATTCCTTAGCTAGTTTAGAGACACCAGCTTGTTCTCTAATGCTGTTGTTACCAAATTCCTCATGACATACTGGAAGGTGAAGGCAAAAGAAGAATCACACTCCTCCTATCCCCCTAAAAAGTAATGATTATATGATTCCTGATGAGTGTAAATTTCTTGGAAATGGTAAATATTTTTAGCTGTTTGATAATGGAGAGCACGAAGACAGAATTTTAATATTTGGCACAGAATATGGCTTAATGATTTGGAGAAAATAAGGATGGGCATGTGTTGAAACATTTAAATGTAATCCAGATGTGCACCAGTTAGTTATATATGTCACATGCAATGATAAGAAGTAGCAGCATCCCTCAGAAAATTCTGAAGAAACTTAAAGCAGATTTTCTTTTGATGTCATGGAATCTGCAATAATTTTAATTTTATTAATAATTTTTAAGGTTCCATGATGTTCCTTTAATGTCCCTCTTATTTTACATGATTTTATCTCTTATGGAAAAACTGCCTTGTGACTAATTAGGGGGTGAAGATATTTGCAGCAAAGAATTTATGGCAAATTTACCAGACATGATTATTCAGCTTTACAAAGAGGAAATTCTGGCACAAGCTACATACACCCTGAGTGAAACTTGAAGATATTTTGCTAAGTGAAACAAGCCATTCACAGAAGGAAA